TGCTCTACAGCTCTGTTAAAGTCCCAATCTATATTTCTATCTATTAAACATTCTATAAAACTTTAAAATGGTTTAATTTGTTTATTTACCTTTGGTTGTAAACCTCGATTTTAAATGTAGCCACCATTTTTTCAACAAATTTCCCGTGAGTCAATGCGCAACGTTCACTGACTTGTGAGTCACGGGACATTGTAAACTTGCGGCGCAAGGTTAATCAAGGCATATAATAATTATTTATACCATTCTGTGGTATAAATAATAAATTCCTATCACAAATAAAAATAATTTATTGTTAATTTAAAATCATCGCTAGGGCGCCTCTAGTGCCCGTTTTTGTCATACCATTATGTGGACGGACACGCGTTCAATGGGTTATATTAAAAATTAGTTATCAATCTATATGTTCAGTGTGAGCGGTACAGCACTTCTGCACTGATTCTTACTTTATTTGTCACACTCTCTTCTGTATATTCACTTACTCAATATATATATTGCATGTCATTTATTTTATATATGTCCTCATTATTTTCTCTCATAATTGTATCTCTTACGAGGGTTGTCCCAGAAGTACCCGACCTGACATAGATGGCGGTACTTGTTTGAAAAAAAAAAACGACTGTGTTCGAAAGCATCAACCTTACAAAGCTTAAGTTTGAAGTTTGAAGACGTTACGTCGTATAGTATTTTTTTGGCAGCCATAAATAGTGAACAATCTCAGTGAATTTCTAAACATGGAAAAAATTTGTCATTGTTATGTGATACAATACTTTCATTTGAAAGGTTTCAGTCCAACCAATATTAAAGCTGAGCTAGATTCTACTCTGGGGGAATCTGCTCCCTCGTTTACAACAATAAAATATTGGGTGGCAGTGTTTAAACAAGGCCGTACGAGCTGCCAAGACGAACATTGTAGTGGTCGACCAAGTGAGGTGACCATGCCAGAAATGGTGGAAAAAATCCACAAAATGGTATTGGATGACAGTCAACTCAAAAGTGCGAGAGCTAGCAGACATAGTAAACATTTCAAAAAGTGCTGTACATCGCATTTTAACTGAAAATTTGGACATGAGAAAGCTGTGCACAAGATGGGTGCCGCATTTGCACACAATGGGACAAAAACAGCGTCGTGAGGATGTTTTAATTGAATCTTTGGCAATGTTTCGCAGCAACAAAGCCGAGTTTTTGCGTCGATTCATAACCATGGATGAAACATGGGTCCATCACTTCACACCTGAGACGAAAGAACAGTCGAAACAATGGACTGAAAGGGGAGAATCAGCTCCAAAGAAGGAGAAAACAGTTCCATCTGCTAGCAAGGTCATGGCGTCAGTTTTTTGGGATTCACCCAGGAAAAACAAACAACAACAAGTATTATGCAAACTTATTGCAGTGCTTGAGTGATGAAATCAAGAAAAAATGGCCACATTTGGCAAAAAAGAAAGTGTTATTTCATCAAGACAACGCACCAGTTCACACATCCGTTATTGCGATGGCCAAAATCAATGAGTTAAGGTTCAAATTGCTTCTTCACGCACCTTATTCGCCAGATTTAGCCCCTCGGATTATTTTCTCTTTCCAAACTTAAAAAATTGGCTTGGTGATAAAAGATTTGCCAACAATGAAGAGGTGAAGTCTGCGATTGATGGCTATTTTGAGAAGCCCGACAATTCTCACTATAAACAGGGGATCAAAGCTATTGTACATTGCTGGAAAAAGTGTATCGAGCTAAAAGAGACTACGTTGAAAAATAAAGATATGTTTTACCAAATTTTGTGTGTCTTTTTTGTTAGGTCGGGTACTTCTGGGACTACCCTCGTAACTTTAATTTTTATTTTGTTTTACCCATTTTGTATCTGTATTACTTATATATATATATATATATATATGTTATTTTATCATATCCTATTTCTATTCAATCCCACCTGTATCTACATTTATTGCATATGTACATATTTTGTATATCCATTTGTATTTGTTCTCATTTATTTCTGTACAGTAGACCCCCTATAACACGGGTTCATATAATGCGAATTCATATATCACGGCAAAAAAAATTGCGAGCATATTTGTATAAACATGCTAAAAGAGACTCGTAAAATGTGGTAAAACAGCATCGCCAACTCGTATCACGACAGGATTGGTCGAATCTAGACAATAGCAGATATTGCACAAACCACTGAGTTTAAACAAGCAGTGGACCTACTAAAAACCATTTATTATTTAACGTCCATAAAAATTATATTTATATTAATGATGTCTCCAAAGTTCAGCAAATTTTTCGCAGAAAAATAATTTATCAGGAAACACGCACCTGCTGTTTGATGCGCCGCTCCACGATGAAAACAAGCTTAAGCAATGGTGTGATCAAATGGCGCACATTTGGTAAATAATCCTACAATTTTTTGTTTATAGCATAGTTTATATGGATTATTCCCAAGAAATTATATGTGTTTTGGAAATGTTGAGTCAAATTAGTCTAGAATCAATTAATTTTATGGAAGAAAACCTTTCAAACAGCCGTAGTCCGTAAAGTGCATACGTGCCAGGCTGTGATTGGCTCATGTATTTAAGGACTCTTAGAACGTGAATTTCATAAAAAGTGGAATGTATCTACCGAGTTATGGGGGGGTCGACTATATTTTGCATATGTATATCTTGTTCAATTTCTCCACATTTTTACATTGTATATTATCCTGACCTATATTAACCTACCTATAACTAATGTTATTCTTGTCACGTTTTTGTAACCTGGTAATGCTTCCTGCAGAGCCAGGTATGTAACACAATTTGTGTACCTTATAATAAATAACGAACGAATGAGGTGTTGGAGACAGCTTTCAAGCATTCCATGGACAGCACAGATCACCAACAAAACTGTCTTAGACAGCCCAACCAAAAATCTCACCGGAAGCCCAGATAACCAAACAGAAACTGTCCTTTTTTGGTCATATAATGAGAACCAGCTCCCTTGAGAAGGCAATCATGCTGGGGATGGTTAGCAGGAAAAGAGCGTGAGGCCGACCAAGGACTCAGTGGCTCGACACAATCAAAAGTGACACTGAATTATCTATAATGGAATTGAAGGAGGCTATGCAGAAAAGAGGCACAGAGAGCTTTAATCCTTAGAGTGACCGAGAGTAGGACACAACGGATAAAAAGAATATATTACACTTTCGTTCATGAAGAACAATCAGGTTTTGAATCATTATAACACATTCAATTTTAATGTACTATAAAAAAATTCCAGTGTTACATCAGTTATATATAATAATTTTAAATCCAAGCTTACTTTACAACCAACTAAAAGTCAAAAAAAGGTAAGTACAGATAAACCATGTACAATACAGCATTCCTAAAATACTCTTTTGCTCTAACATGGTTCAAGAATTGAGGATATCTCCCATACAACACAGTTTTGCTCCAATTTGGTTTGAGAACATCCCAGGATAAAATGTCATAACCCCATCATTCAATACTTTTTTATTCAAGCAAACATGTATTGTCTCATATTTTCCCCATTGATATTGAAATTTTCAATGTTGTTTCATGCTTTTTGCCCCGCTTTCTGTAATGAGAACTGATTGTATAATTTTTCTTTTCCTTGTCCTAGTTTTTTATTCTGGCTTTCTTATAAACCAAGCGTCACTATCATTGGTGATAGTGCTCTAAATGAACCCAAAAGATTGTTGTTGTGCTTTGTATTATAGATTAAATTAAAAAGTTACTATATAAAGATTAAATTTTTAAAGATATTTTCATTGCTTGCATTAGCCTATCAGATTTTATGAAAAAACAGAGAAAAAGCAAAATGTTGCTGATAATTGGGATTAAGGTCAACAGTAAAGCTCGGATGACAACATTCTGACAAAAAGAAAACATCCTTGTTTAATGATGTTTAGCAGTAGAGAAACAATATTAACATACAATACTTTTTGCCCCAATTTGCTTGCGACTGTTAGTTAATTATCGATTGCTTTAATAAACATATTTCTCTTAATTACGAAAAATAATTGTACACTCTGGCTAACCTTTAAAATCTAACCCCACATTTTTGTATTAGTTCGTTTCCCAAAGCACAGATTCACATAATGCGGCACCTTTTCGGAACCTAATTAGCATTATAAAATGGGGATAACCGTAAACACAATGGTACCGATTTCATTGCTCGTTCAAACTAGTTTTTGTTTTCAGCAACACACTCTACTACTCAACTAGTAGTATATAATATACTACTTATCAAGTAGCATAGTATCTATAAGTAGCATAAGTATTTAGGAAAGCCAAACATATCTAAAAACAGAAAAAGTACAGGCGGCCATGACTTTTTCAGTTCCATCATAAATCACACGGAACTTCCGCAGTCCACTGTTAAACGGCGTGCGCCCGTAGCGGCAATCTGCCAGCTTTACAATTAAAAGTTAATTTACCTTAGGTAGCCAAAATGGCAGCTCATCTCCGATTCCAGCTAACAAAAGAAAGGAAACAATGGGGACGCACGTTCTAACATAACCTAACCTATTCTAATAATTTGGTTGGTAATAATTATGGTAATTTATTAGAATAGGTTAGGTTAGGTTAGGTTTTAGAACGTGCATCCCCGCTGTTTCCTTTCTTTTGTTAGCTGGAATCAGAGATGAGCTGCCATTTTGGCTACCTAAGGTAAATTTAACCCAATTAAATTCTTCTATATTCGAACAACTCATTCCTCTACTTCTGCAAAGAGTATAAATCAATTATTCGCATAAAGACAATAAGCCCATTTTCTAAATTTGTACTTACATCCAAATCATTCATATAGAAAATTCTATATCTTAATTTAAAAATTCAAAATTAATAAAAGTATATTATTATAAAATTTCTCAGAATAAATAATAATTTATAATTAGGTAGAAAAGTTTCCAGATATTTCGACTAAAAAATTAAAAAAAAATCTAGCATAGAAATTCTTTTATTATAAATATAAAAATGGCGGGTTTATTACTGTTATAATAAATCCTTACCAAAATTCGGCGGCAACTGTTGGACCACGTTTTCTTGTCTTAGTTGCTGCTTTCTTTTCTTTCTTAGGAATGTCGGTGGTGTTAGAATTCTGTGCCCCTTTATTACTACGAAGAGCCCTCTTAAGAGGTGGTGTCGACGTTTTTTCTTTACTATTTGAATTTTTAACTTTCTTTTCCTCCTCGTCGGTTTTCGTTTCACTTTTCTCCACCTTCTCTTCTTCCGGTTTTACATCGACGTCATTCGTTTCTTCATTCTTCGTATCCTTCTCTTCTTCGTTAGTAGTTTCTTCGGGATTATTATCGGTCTTTTTAGTTTTAGATTCGTTTTGATTCTTGGTTTCCGCACCACGTTTCCTCCCGCCTCGCTTCTTCGCTGCCATTTTGATTCGAAACGGTCGACAGACTCCTTATCTAATGGCTGCTTATAAACCTGCTTTCAAATTCGCGCCCAACCGGATCGAACCGGTTCTTATTCATTATATTAATTCATCCATTACAAACAGAAATGATTTTTATTGGTCGAAAAATTTTTATAATTATTTATTTCGAATTATTACGTAAAAAATTTCTTTTTAAAAAAATTTATTTATAAAATGGTAAAATTAAATTTTTATACGTTTCCGTTTGATTTTGATCCAAGTCTTAATATTAAAATTGCGATTAAAAATAATTATAGTATTTAAGAAAATTTCTTGTGTATTTTAATAAGAATTTATTAATATAATTATAGTGGGTGATCGGTTAACGAACAAATCGGATAACGAACACTTTCGCGAAAGATTTTTATGTTCGGATAACGAACACATGATCGGATAACGAACACCTCACAGAACAAACTCAAAAAGAAGCGACGTAAAATAATGAATACAGTATCTATTGATCTTGCCAAAAGACTAAAAACTGCCAAAAGATTTTTAAAATGAAAAGATAGTCGAAAAGAAAAAGGATGTTCGATGATGAAAGCAGCGATCAATCTATACAGTCTCCCAAAAGAAGGTATGAAACAGATTTTTTTAACACCACGATTGAGTCTATAATAAGCAATATTGATTCGCGATTTGTCTTTAAATCAACATTTTGAAAATTTTGATTTTCTCTACGATCTAAGCGAGTTAAAAAAATATTCCAAAAGAGCAAATATTAAAAAAACCATCAAGATTTACATTCAGTCCTGCGAGTGGGTGAGAGCAGTGACTTCCAACCTTACGAATTATATAAATAATTACAAACAATGATCCCAAATTTACCCAACTTCATTAAAGATGTGAAACAGCTGCTCCAATACATAATAGAAAATAACTTGAAAGAAATTTACCCAAATATTTACATTGCAGTTCGAATTTTGTTAACAATATCGGTAAGTACTGCCTACTCTGAAAGGAGCTTTTCAAATTTAAAACGAATAAAAAATTATTTAAGAAATACAATGGGTCAGGAAAGACTTTCAGCTTTCGCAGTTTTATCTATTGAAGCATATATAGCATCTAAGTTAAATTACGATACAATTATTAAGGAGTTCAGTAAGGCTAAAAGCAGGA